TATGGAAGCTGCATATGGACTACCTAATCACTATAATGGCCCAGCATGCTGGGTGCCTGTGTAATGGGGAGAGAGAGAAAGCAGGGCCCTCTTTGGATATATGGTCTGCACTAGGGCTGGGAGATACAGTGGTACCTCGGGTTACAGACGCTTCAGGTTACAGACGCTTCAGGTTACAGACTCCGCTAACCCAGAAATAGTGCTTGAGGTTAAGAACTTTGCTTCAGGTTGAGAACAGAAATCGGGCTCCGGCGGCGCAGCAGCAGCGGGAGGCCCCATTAGCTAAAGAACCGTTTCAGGTTAAGAACGGACCTCCAGAACGAATTAAGTTCTTAACCCAAGGTACTACTGTATATCAATATATCGGCCAAAACCGGTTTGCGGTTCCTATTGTGGTATCAGTTTCATAATTTTTGACCTGGCAATATATCATGAATCATGGTGTGTGTGTGTATGTGTGCATGTGCTATGCAAAAATCTAAATGTGGGGGAAACCATAAAGCCAGCCAATGCTTGTCTTGATTCCTGCAGCCCCTGTTAACTCTGCTAGCTCAGCTCTTCCCCCTGCCCCCTGCAAGGGGCAGTGAATCACGAACAGACACCAGCAAAAATCACAATGCGGGGAAAACCATGAAGCCAGCCAGTTGCCTCTACACAGCCCCATCCTTATTTCAGACATCGTGATATACTGGTATATCGTGATATTTAGCTGGTGATATGTCATGATGTTGAAAACAAGATGTCGCCCATCCCTATGGTGGGCACAATACTACTACCTGGATGGGTTGTGTCCTGTAAGAATACTGTAGATTTTAACTGTCCTGGCTCACTCCAACAATACTAAGAAATGGAATTTTGTGCTGCGTGTTCACTGGTAAAGATCCCTCGCACACCCAACTACAGTTCCCAGGAATTCCTAGAGATAATGCAGAATATTTTATTGACTAACTATGCAGCCCTATACATGTCTACTTAGAAATCAGCCCCACTGATTACAATGGGACTTAGTCTTAAGGGAATGTGTTTAGAGTTGCTCAGTCTTATTCTCTAGCTCAGAACCATCCCCACTGACCTCTTATCTTATTGAGATTCCTGAAATTACTTGTAAATGCATCAGGGATAATTCAGTACTGGACTCCCATTAGTCAAGCACAATCCTTGCAGCAGTTAGAGATGCACTCAGTAGCAACCCCTTGGGTGATTCCTTCAGTGAGCAGGGGAGGGTGGGGACCTGCGCTGCTAATACAAATGTACCAGTTCTCTCATTGTTTCTGGACATCCATTCAGTCACACAGCAATGTGTTTTCTACCAACATTCAATGAGAGAGTTGGGGGCGGGGGTTGTCGTTTGCTCAATCCTGAGAAAAGTCCACAGAGAAGGAAATGTATAGGTCCATAATTGAAGCCAGATTCTAATTTCCATGCATATTGTTTCTGTTTCTGCATAAGTGCTCTCTAGTGGTGGAATATTAATATGTCTACATAATGAATGCATGCATTAAAGGAAGTTCATTACGCAAGTGTGGCACGGTCTACGTAAGAGCAGTTCACAAGGACTGCTCGTTTTGCAAAGGAAGGCACAAATTATCATTTGCCATTGAATTATTTAAATGGTAATATAGATCTGAAATTTATGTAACCCAGATAAATTTCCTAGCAGACTGAAGTGAAGAACAAATTGAATGTAGTGTTTGCAGAATGAATTATGTACTTTATTTAAATGCCTGAAAGTACAGTTTCTTGCCAGTGACCCCAACACAGTGTAAACACAAGATCTGAAAAAAATAGCTTAGCTATCCAGCTGAAGTTTTCAAAACCAGCAGAACGAAAAGGCTAGTAGTTGGATTGAGTTCAAAAAGACATTTAGGCTGCAATCCTAGACCCACTTATCTGGTAGTAGGCCTCATTGAAATCAATGGGACTTATATCCCAGTAGGCAAGTACAGGATTGCGCTGTGAAAATACAATTTCTAAAACATTCAGGTGATGTCACAGAAGGGAGCACAGAAAAGAGGCTTTGTTCATGATTAGCTGCCATCGGTAATAAGGTGACATATTTCTAACGTGTCCAAATCAGTTCACATGCATTATCTTGGCTGTTATTTTGTCTTGATGGCATCAATTGACAACTGTGTGATGTGAAATGGTAGCCTCTGTTGCATGATAGCTTAAATTCCGTAGACTCCGTATATCCATTTGATTTGACCGTACAAATCTGGGACCATTCTGCCGCCTGTGGCCATCAAACTCCAATGCATTATTGTATTATTTATTAAATTTATATCCTGCCCTTCCTCCCGAAGGAGCCCAGGGTGGCAAACGCACAAACAAGAAACAGCTAAAAAAATCATAAAAGCCATTTCAATGCAGATGCAGACTGGGGAAATCTGTCCCCAAAAGGCTTGTTAGAAGAGGAAAGTAAGTTCCAGTAAGGCAAAAGAGTCTAATATTTAGCTGGGCACTACAGGCCCTATTCTGTGGAACAGACCTCCTGATAAAATGGTATCTGCAGGAGGCCTTCACCTGCCAAGTGCAGGTATCTTGTTCCCAGAATGTGTAAGGCTTTTATACAACAAAAACAGCAGCTTGAAGTTAAGGCTGGTAACTAATTGGCAGCCAGTGGAAAAACTGGAACTACCTACAGGATAGGATTCTATACTGTATCAACACTGCCAAAATAGCACATGTGTTAAGGGTTTGACCCCTAACAGTAATTTCCCAGTATTTTGGAGCCTGAGTGCACATGAAAATCCCTTGATGCAACATGTTATAATGAAAGGTTTTTTCATTAATGCAATTTGATTACTTTTGGAGAAGGCTATGCTTGCAACTGAAAGTGAGAAACTCAACAGAAGAAGAAAGGCAGATATATCATTAAGAAGAAACCATGTACCATTTAGAAGGGCAAGAATCCACATAAGAATTATATTAACCTTATTAAGTGGCTAATTTATTAAGTGAAATGAGCCTAGAAATAAGGGCTCCCATTCCACCCCCCACCAGACTCCTGTGTCTTTAAAAGGGTTGCCATATTTTACTAGCTTTCTGCTTCTCTGCCTATAACCATTGGTTCTTTTGGCAATTTGGAGGGGGTCACGTTGGTTTTCATGCTTGACAATTGCTCTGACTTAGTTTTGCACACTGCATGATTTTGAAAGGCACAAAAAAAGGCCAAGCAGGGGCTTTTCAGGTCAACTGGCAAGTCTAGCCATTAAAGGTTGCAATAGAAAACGAGGGAAATTGGCAGATGAACCACGCAGAACCACACAGTTGCCCCCTAAATATCTCTGCTTTTCTGAAGGCTCTCCTGTACCTTCAGAAGTTACCCATGAGAAATCCAACCACTGTCCCCCTCAGAGATTGCACAAGAAGTTTGTACTGGCCAAGGAACACCTTTATGAAATCCCATTGGCCACAAAAATGTAGTTTACTGTAGGCAGTGGAGGTTTAGGATCAAGAGTTCTCCTTCTCCTAGATGGGCAACCTTCCCAGGTTGATGAATCCCATCTGCTCCTCACTTGCCTCTACAGCACATGCAGAAACCACCTTCTTGACTGTTGGACCCACTATTGGTCTCGCCTACTCAATCCACCAGAGCCTCTCTTTTCATGCAGGGAAAGTCCCTATTGAGACACACTGGCTATCCTCACCTGGTTTAGCTGGCCAATCAAAGCCGTTCCCAGGATGTAGCCACTGTTACAGCTTCTAGGAGCCACAGGTAAGAGCTAAGTGCTGGTGGGGATCAAAAGTGGACAAACTACCCCAGAAGGAGCGTGACATGCCCCCCCACCATCAGTACTACCCCTCCCCTAACACCCCATACACCCTGCATGGCCAAATAATATGCCCCTGAATGCATAAAGGTAAAGGGACCCCTGACCATTAGGTCCAGTCACGGACGACTCTGGGGTTGCAGCGCTCATCTCGCTTTATTGGCCGTGGGAGCCAGCGTACAGCTTTTGGGTCATGTGGCCAGCATGACTAAGCCGCTTCTGGAGAACCAGAGCAGCGCACGGAAACACCGTTTACCTTCCCACCACAGCGAACCCTGTTTATCTACTCGCACTTTGATGTGCTTTTGAACTGCTAGGTTGACAGGAGCTGGGACTGAGCAACGGGAGCTCACTCCGTTGCGGGGATTCAAACCGCCGACCTTCTGATCGGCAAGCCCTAGGCTCTGTGGTTTAACCCACAGCGCCACCTGCGTCCTTCTCTGAATGCATACACTAGGATAAAGTGTGTATAAGGATGTATACATTGGCAAAAATAACATACAGAAATGCATTATACTAGGAGCAACTGTGAAGATTAGGATCAATCAACACAAAATGCTTGTGATTTTCTTCAGATTTTTTTTTTTTTAATGTGGAAAACAGAACGTCACACTGGAAAAATAAGGAACCCAAAAGTACCCGAATCAACAGATTTCCCCCATTCCTAGTTACAGGTATGCTTGGCAAGAAGGCTTCCATTTCCCAGGGCTCTAGATCAAAGCTACCACCCCCCTTGCCATTACATAGACATTGCATATAATACTGGAATGTGAATCAGATATATAATATATAATATTATAGATTTATTATATATTATATTATAATATTATATATTTTCAAATATATAATTTGAAAACTGAGACCCAGTTTAAATCTCAAGCTAGGCAGGTATACAAAGCTTCCTGGTGTGGGGATCATGACATCTAAATTTGGTTGCCATGTCTACTTGTTTAATAGCAGCATGCAAGGGACAGGGTACTCGTGGGCCACAGATACGTGGTGTGCAAATGCCGCACACCTCGGTGCCAGCAACTTGGATTAGACGTGACAGTGTCCATATGGAACCCCTGTACAGTATGGGTAATGATTTATTTTTAAATGCCATCACATTTAAATCGGACCTGCGATGCATTTGAAACCAGCAAAGCTCTATGTAAAAATGAGGACTGCAGCCAAAAGGGTCTGGAAGGAAGGTGGGGGAACAAATTAACTCAAAGTGCAATTAAGGGAAGGACTGTGGCTCAGTGGTAGAGTGTCTGCCTTTTCAAGCAAAAGGTCTGAAGTTCAATCCCTTGCATCTCCCTACTTAAATTCCTAGACAGCTGCTTCTAGTCAGTGTAGACCATATGGAGCAAAATGGACCAAAGGTCTGACTCAGTATAAGAAGGCTTCGTGTGTTCCTGTGCAATGAGTAGTTCAGGCTGAACTGGTAATACTGTCAACTACTGAAGTAACGACTGGCTAAGATAAGGTTAAAAACACACAGAGTAAGATATTGGATCGGAAATTGGATATTAAATAGAGCATGGGAGAGAAACCATTATTCTATACATGGCTGTGTTCGCACGGCATCTTATTCCCTTTCCTCAACGCTCCCCGGACGGTTAATTTCTGCATTATATTTCAGCTTTCATGTGACGTAAAAGCCAGTTCATGAAAACTAATGGAATATAGCACATGTTCAGTGTTCATTTCCATTCTATTTTATTCCGGGGGGGGGGGGGAATCTGTTTGCAGACCACGTGACCCTGAAAATTGTGGGAGTAAACGTGATTAAATTTGGGGCGGCATAGAGGTTTTTTCCTGCTGCTTTTGTGGGGGAATTGTGGGGGTACAAAAGCACGCATGTGCGGAATGGCGGGTGGGAGGGGATAGCAACATTGTTCAATGGCATTCCTTGTTGGGTCACACCGTGCTCTCTGGTATGAAAGAAAGTTAGCATGAGCTGCCAGTCATAAAGCCACAGTTCTATAATGCCCCAGTGTGAAAGGAGCAATAGAAAACTAAGAACAGAAGTGCTAGCAGGAAGCCCAATGTGATATTCCCCATGCCTGAATGCACCATGCGTTTGAACTCTTAGCAATTACACCTTGCTGAGTACCAGACAGTCCTAGGTAAGTTTAGTTGAAAGTTGGGAGGTGGAGAGACATCATCCCCAAAGCGCTGTCAGAATCAAGCTAGGGTTGGCAACTGGAGGAGGAGGCAGAAACAGAGTTGGCAGGAACTGGAGTTGGGGAGGGAGGGTCTCCTCATTGTCCCTCAAGCTGCTTTTGAAAGGGGAGCAAGAACCCTAGCTCCTTCCCCCAGCTCAGACATAGGATGCATGAAGGAGGTCCAGGACTCAAAATTTCCTGAGATGGATCTGTGCCAGAGAGTTCTTGCCAATCAAAGCAGGCAGGACTCTGGGCTAGATGAACCAATGGTCTGATTCGCTTTACGATAGCTTTGTATGTTCTTCTGTATGATTACTCTTCACTGTGGGTAGGCAAACTTAGGCTCGGGGACCGGATTTGACTGAATCGCCTTCTAAATCCAGCCAGCGGATGGTCCAGGAATCAGCGTGTTTTTACATGAGTAGAATGTTTCCTTTTATTTAAAATGCATCTCTGGGTTATTTGAAGGGCATAGGAATTCATTCATCCCCCCCCCCCCAAAAATATAGTCTGGCCCCCCACAAGGTCTGAGGGACAGTGGACCAGCCCCCTGCTGAAAAAGGTGGCTGACCCCTGCTCTTCACAATCCCAGCAATGGCCACATGTAGTCCGGAGTTGATGTCATAGAGACCACAGTATGCATGAACTTGCCCTTTATTTGTTTCCTATTTCTTTTGCGGGGGACTTACGGTTAACAATTCTGCCTTTTTCATTTCAACCGTCAACAAATTTATATAGTAGTAAATCCCATTGATTTCAGCCTGAGCCTCAGAAACACAGAGCTAGCCTCCAAATATGTTTTCCAGGTATTGAAATAATAATAAAAAAAGCAGCTCAAGTTGGGAATGAATTGGGGAAAGTCTTACTGGCAGATTGATGGAATGCCCTTAAAGTTTGTGGTTTTGCTGTTTTATGTTGGTAACTTATTGTCCAGTTTGCTTTTCACTTCGTGCCCAATAAAGCTGTAGTAAGTGCTATCTTACTCATTGTTATTTGGTTCAACTGGACCTTTTTCTAAATAATCCGTCCTTTGTTAATTTTAGATAGTTTTTAGATTGTCTGTATGTATTTATGGTTCAGTGTGCCGTTTTGGGTAGGCTATGTCCCAGATGGGACACGGGTGGCGCTGTAGGTTAAACCACAGAGCCTAGGGCTTGCTGATCAGAAGGTCGGCGGTTCAAATCCCCGCGATGGGGTGAGCTCCCATTGCTCGGTCCCTGCTCCTGCCAACCTAGCAGTTTGAAAGCACATGAAAGTGCCGCTCCGGCGGGAAGGTAAACAGTGTTTCCGTGCACTGCTCTGGTTCACCAGAAGCGGCTTAGTCATGCTGGCCACATGACCCGGAAGCTGTACGTCGGCTCCCTCAGCCAATAAAGCGAGATGCGCGCCACAACCCCAGAGTCGGTCACGACTGGACCTAATGGTCAGGGGTCCCTTTACCTTTACCTATGTCCCAGATACATAAGTAATAACTGCAAATCTTATAGTCTATGTGGCCCTTGAGACTCTCCAGAGGCCACTCTCTCCCCCAGGCCAAATCCCTTACCAGCCATACCTCACACCCTCCTGCAGTTCTTTCTGCCTGGCTGGAATTTGCCCCTGAACTCTTCCTTACCTAGTCAGGTGCAGAGTAAACCATATCACTATCACACATAAATTCACATTTTGTAAATATATGCCATCTGGTACTTGACATGGGCACTAAAAATGGCATTTGTTGGGTTTGTTCAAAACCTATCCCCTTGGAAAGGGCTTCTCTTCAATCGTTTTACATTTATTTATCAAGGGGGAATTGGCTCACTATGTTTTTGAGCAGGGAGATGAATCAAAAAGCCATGCCCTGATTTAAAACACATGTTGCTGCACTCCTCCTCCAAGCTCTGATGTGAGATAAGCCATAGTGTGGCTTAGTGTGTTGTCTGAATCTGGAGTTTGTCTCCACTAGACAAACTATGCAATGTAAACTAAAGACCAACATAGATCACAACTTGTGGTTTGTCTGGAGTGAGACAAGCCACGGGCCTGGGTTTGGCCAGCATTCTAGGCAAAACCATGGTGTGGCTCATAGCAGCAGCAGGAGGATCAGGAGAGGATCACAGTGCCCACAGTCTCCTCTTTGATACGCTGCCTGCTCATTCATTTGCACTAAGCCATACTTGGGCTTACTGTTGCGTGCAAGCCAGTTCTTGGTCTCTATCAACTGATAAACCGGGGCCCTGATACCGATTGAAACTAATAATGGCAATGGAATCTTTCCTCTCAGTGCAAATTCCAGCTGTGAGGACCCAACAGAGATCAGATCTGCTGAGGGGGCAAAGGGTTAAATTATCCACTGCCACCATGGCTTTTAAAAATCCATTCATGCAGTCACTTAATTGCATGGTTAATGTCACGTCTTGCTGAGCACTCCATCAAGGCTCCTCCAAACATTTGAAGCAGATGTGGTTGTTAGAGCACTCTGTACACTGACCTTCCATTTGCACACTGTTTTCACAACTCCAGCCTGTGCCAATTACTGAAGGCTGCAGCGTGTTGTTCCATCTGATTCTGAGCTCCTCAGTCACCACAAATGTTTGGAAGTGGCACTGCAGGGGAGAAGCATCCCTTTGCTTAATGGGCAGAACAGATCAAGAAGCTTTTCACCAAGGCTGCTTCATTCCAGCTGCCGAAATGGGAGTTAATCCTGACAAGCCTTCTCAGAGCAGAGTCGCACTGTTGGGCTGCTTGTACACTTAAGAAGCTCTCCCTCCTTTCCTGAAACAAGCCTCCATGTATGTAGGAGTCTTTCTCACTTTAATTATATTTCTAAAAATGAAGAAAAACTTAATTGGCCAGGATCCATGGAATGACTCAGATTCACATGAGAGACATGAGCTAGCTAGCCCAATGGAGTGACTGGCTTTGTTTTCTTCTTGGAGCACCTTGCAGCCACCTCCAGGTTTGGGGGGACCCAGACAAGGAATGAGCTCCCACTCCAGTGCCAACCCTCACCCTTTCTTTTCCTCCTCTACACCAGTGTGGTGTAGTGGGTAAGAGTGGTAGACTCGTAATCTGGTGAACCGGGTTTGCATCCCCGCTCCTCCACATGCAGCTGCTGGGTGACCTTGGGCCAGTCACACTTCTCTGAAGTCTCTCAGCCCCACTCACCTCACAGAGTGTTTGTTGTAGGGGAGGAAGGGAAAGGAGAACGTTAGCCGCTTTGAAACTCCTTCAGGTAGTGATAAAGTGGGATATCAAATCCAAACTCTTCTTCTTCATCATCTTGCCATGGAGTAGCAGCACTGGTGGAGTCTCAAGTCAGCAGCAGGGGGACTTTCTGAGGTGCTGAGACTACCCAGGTTTGCTAACCCTGAAGCACTGGTCCTGCCAATGGTTTGCTTGGTCCTGCCAATGGTTTTCCCACAAGCATTTGGTTGGCCACTGTGATAACAGAATGCCAGACTAGATGGACCATTGGGCTGGTCCAGCAGGAGACTTCTTATGTTCTTAAGGCTACTGTTCAAGGAAAACAAATCTAAAACTGCCTTGTGCTTACAGAACCACATCCATGGTTCTCTCAATCCTCCCCTCCCCATTCCTGGCCATTATCTTTAGACCTTCATCGTTTTAAGAGGACAATCGGTGTTACCATGCCACCCTTTATTTTTTCTTCTGCCAAGTTTAGAATGGCCCTGCTTTGCAAAGCTTTCTAGCGGCGTAGCCTACATCTTTATTACATCAAAACATACAGATTGTGGAAGGTGCTCAAAATAGCTTTGCAAAACCCAGTTACTTCTTTAAGCATCAACCTGTAAGATTATTAGTTCTGGGAATCTAGAGACCCAAGTCTCCTCCAAAGTTTGCCTCCATACCATAGCAATATCCAATAGCGATGAGAACTCAGTACTTTCTCTTCCCATTACAGCTTTGTTAGAACTTGTCCAGATTCAGGGTTTATATATGCAATAAGGCTGCCGTTCTCTGCACACTTGCCTGGGAGTCAACCTCAATAAACTTAGATGGTCCAGTTTTTTAATAGATATGCATAGGATTGCTCTGCAACTGAGTGAGCAAATCTTTCCATTTCACTTTCTCATTTGTTCCAACCCAAAGTTCCATTTGCCACTTTCTGCATCAGTTGGCAAATTATTATTATTTTTTAGTTCTCATG